TGGGCAGGGCGGCCAGACTCGCTTCTGAAGGCCCTTGTTGCTGTCCCATAGAGCCCCCGAACAAACAGGAGCTGAGATGGGAACAGGGGTCAGAGGGGAGCTAGCAGCCAGGTGAGAGAGGAGCGTCCACATGGGGGTGGGGACAGGGCAGAACCTGGCACCATGGAGCCAGCTGGATGCTGGGGGGTGGGGGGTTCTGAAGCCACAAGTACAGTGGGAGCCCAGGAAATCCCCGGTGTCCATTGGGGAGTGGAATCTGGTATTCATTGGGTGCCTGTAGTGAGGGGTTGGCATCAACTTCATAGCAGTGGTTTGGTTTGGATTGGGGGGGGGGCGAGTCACAGCCATTGTCAAGTACGTTCCAACTCATAGTGGCCCTGGATGGAGCCCGGGTGGGGTCCAAGGTCAGCAGTCGGAGACCACCAGCAGCTCTGCAGAATAATGAGGCTTTCTACCCCCGTCAAGAGGTACAGTCTCGCAGACGGATGGAAGGCAGTTCTGCCCTGCCCTTTACAGGGTCGTATGAGTCACCATCAGCTCGACGGCTTTGAGTTTGGTTTGGACGTGGACATCAGTATTTACGGAGTGCCTGTGGGGTGAGATGGTCAAACATCTCACAAGCCCACCTGACGTGGTGGCTGGAGCCACCTCCCTCTGGTGAAGCTGGGGTTGATGAGGTCGCAGGCCTTTAGTGGCCAGCGGGCCCACATCCCCGTCCCTGCTGCAGAGCGGAGCCTGTCAGAGTCAAATGTTGGGGAGGAGTTGTTTCAGGGGGGATCCAGTGTTCAGGGACACGTTACCCGCAGCAGCGCGTCTTGGTGGAGGACTGGGCATGAGGTGCGTGCGTGCGTGTGTGTGTGTGTGTGTGTGTGTCCGTCCCCACTGTCACTCTCCCACCACACCATCTACGGGGACCGCAGGCAGGTCAAGTGAGTCTGGTGGGTGCTGGATAAAGAACCGCCAGGCGCATCTCCCGACTGTGGGACCAGACGCTGCACTTTGTGGCGGGAAGAGATAGTAGGATTAGTGCTCTCTGAACCTGGATTTGGAAACCGCAGGCCTTGGTCCTTGAAGTCTCTTGTAGTGCAGATTGAAACCTTTGTGGCTGGGGTGGGTGCTGCCAGCCGGCCCTCCCCACGCAGGTGTGGGGCAGAGACAGGTCACCAAGGCTGCTGGCCGGCAGCAGGTCCTTCCCCGGCTCTGCATGGGGCCTCCGAGGCGACACTCCATAAATACTGATTTCATTAAATAAACTCAGGGGACTGCTTTGCTTTTAAGCCTCAACTTGGTTTTATGAATAAATAGCCATTAGGGACCGTTAGGTCTTAATAGAGAGTCCTAACTCCGCAGAACTCCAGCCCCATCACCGGAGGCACCCACAGGGACAGTTTGTTGCCCGGAGACTGACCAGATGGAGCCCCACCCAGGAGGAGCAAGTGCCCTTCACTGACCCCAGCCCAGGGCTGCCTGCTGGTCTGCCGGGCTCTTGTGAAACCCAGAGGCTTGGGCGAGGTCTAGGGAAAGTGGTTCGGATGCAGGCCAGCAGGAACACTGGGGTATCCCACTGACCCTGGGCTATCACTGGGGTGGGCTCAAAGGCAGGGCCGGGCACCACTAGACCACAGGAGACGGCAACACATGGACACCAGGCACACACAGCCTGGGCTAGCAACAACTCTGCTGTCTATCTATCATGGAGTGCCTCAGGACACCCCACCCCGGCTCCAATCTGTGTGTGGAGGGCCACCAGGAGTGTCCTCAGGTCAGAGCCCTCCACCCACAACTACTGAGGTCTGATCTGCACTCAGAGACCTGCTGGTGCTAGGCCCACTTGGTGTGTGGGATGAGGAGGTAGAGGTGAGAGCCCAGGAGGCCCAGTCACCTGGGTGTCCTGTCTCTGGCCCTGCCTGCAGGGTCTCTCTCAAAACTCAGCAAAACTCCAGTCAAAGCTCCGACTGGCCCAGTCCCTCCCCAAATCACCTCCCTCCTCCTCCTTTCTGGCATCAGGTTTGCAAAGTTGGTGGATGTGGGCAGGGCTTCATGTTGATGTGACTCCTCTAATCCTCCCGATCTCTGCCTACTCAGAGGGGCCTGGAGGGAACAGGGTGGGTGTTCTCAGCTGCCAACAGCCAGGGGGTCTGTGTGGGTGGGCGCAAGGTGACCACAACATTGCCTCTGCCCCAAAGAAACTGGCATAAAACCTATTTACATGCGGCTTCAGGGAGAAAACACACTGTAAGAGCCGCTCACAGCTCTCTGCTTATCTCCCTCACTGAAGCCACCGGGGGGAGACCCCAAGGGTCCCTGCCACCTCCAGCCCACCCGCTCTGGGTTCTGAAGCTCAGCCAGCGTAGGTTCAACTCCATGATGGTCCTAAGTGGGGGAACAATCACTGGCTGGTTCTGCAGAGCAGGATGGGGGTCAAGAGGAAGTCCCAGAGGCTTCTGGGGAGGGGGACTAAGTGTGTTGCCTCAAACCTCAATATAGAGCCCACCAGTGCCGCTCCACCACCCCCCACCCCGGCAACGACTTGGTCAGGGGCATTGTCACCGGATGTCAAATGGGACCCAGAGAGAAAAGGCTCAGCCGGGAATGAGACTGGGGGTCCTGGGTGGGCACTGCAGGCACTCATCCTTTGGGGCCCCCTGGCTCTCCTACAACCTCCTCTCTCATGGTCAAGGCATGGGGTGTAGCTTGCAGTAAGTCCCGAATGTCAGGGGGCCTTACAGGGCCCGGATGTCAGGGACTTACCTCCATTTGTTCCGATGTAAAGTGGAAGGACTAGACCCTGGATCCCACTGTGTCCTGACAAGTCCCACATTCAGCTGTGGCTCAGGTGATGGCCGCTGGTGCTGACCACAACCCCGTGATGTCAGCTCCCTCACCAGCTCTGAGCAGGTGTGCAGCAAACATCTGTCTTAGCACCCACCCTTGAGAGGATTGCCCGTTAGGATGGAGCCTGTGGCACCAGTCCCCCGATCTTAGCTCTCCCCACTGCAAGGGGTATAAATATTTCCAACTAGAGTGTGACACCAGGGTGGCCAGTGGGGCTGGCCAGGAGCTGGGGGCAGGGCTGGTGTTCCAGGGCCGTGACTGAACATTGGAAGGAGTGGGGGTCCCGATGGCGCTGGACTGGATCCCAAGCTCCTGCAGGCCCTCCCCTGGCCCCTCACCACGGCATGTCTGCTGTGTATAGTCAAGCCCTGACGGGTCTACTCTGCACCTCCCACCTCCCACCCATCCCTGGGAGCTATTAGCACCACACTCGCCGTGAGTCTGTTTGATGACAGATCTGAAAATGCCTGGCACTTCCTAAACACCGCCTGGGACTGTGAGGCCGCCACCATGACCTAGGCTGGGGGTTGGGCAGCCTTCTGAGGGGATAACCTAGGTAGGGGGTAGAGCAGGGCCAGAGGCTGGGGCGCCTCCCCACCCCCACCACCTGTAAGCCCCTGGGCTGCTCTCCCCGTCTCCTTGCCTTGGTCCTACCTGCCTGCCTCTTCTCCAGCCGTGAGTGCCAAGGGGGCAGGGGCTGGCTTGTCCAGCACCCAGGGCAGTGCTTGACGTAGCATGTGTCCAGCACCCATCTAGCTGGGCACTGTTGACCAGTGTGCCCAGGACTTTCCTGCGGCCTCTGGCCATCTCCAATTTATTCTATTTAAGCACAAGCTTTGGTGGGTCAGCCAGAGCCACAGCCCCTCCTGTCTCCAGAGGAGTTGGCTTGGGCTGTCATGCTGTGGGGTCCCTGCCTCTACCTCATCCGGTTCCCCCAACCCAACACTTGGAGCAGCAGCCCTGGGCTTGGCTTAGGGCCGCAGGGCTGGGGGTCTGGACCCAGACCTGGGTTCCAGCTGCCTTTCTTGGCTGGTGACTTGAGGCACAACTTTTGCTCCCGTGTGCATGTGTATGGGGCTGTGTGTGCAGCACTAGACCCTCAGGGTGGAAGGTTAAATGAGACTGTGTGTGAGGACCTTGGCCTGCTGTCTCAGGGAAACCACCTTCTCTGTCCCATGTGCCCTGCAGCTGCCCTTCCCTCTGACCACACAGCCAGGGTGGGGGACGTGGCATTGCACACAGCCATCAGCAGGGGGCGGTCTCCTCACAGATCCAGGCTTCTGGGTCCAGGTGGGTTTACAACCTGCAGATCCCAAGAGATTTTCAGTGGCTCAGGCCAGCCCAGCATTGCACCCTCGGCCCCTGCCTCCTGGGCTGGGGGTGGTGGTGAGTCAGGGTGGGGCCAGAGGCACCTGCTGGCCTGGGCAGAGGAAAGCAAGAAGTGGTTTATGACTTGGAGCTCAGCCCATATAGATGGATAAACAGATGGGGGGAGGGGAGGACTGCAGACCTCCGAGGCCTGCAAGACACAGGTGGGCAGGTGGGTGGGTCCAAGGAACCCACCTCCATCCTGGGTCCCAACAGGCAGCTGTGCCCCAGGCGGGCCTTAGGGGTGGGGGTCCATGGCCACCCAGGGCACCAGGCCCACTGCAGCCCTCTAGGGGCGCTCGGGTCTCCAGGCATCGTGGAAATCGGGCATATGCAGAGCGGAAAACCAAGCAGTACCCTTGGGTCTCTCCGAGCGGGAGCTGGGGGTGTGTGTGCGCGCGGCCACCCAGCACTCTGCACCCCATAATGTTGAGGGTGTGGGCTAGCTAAGCGAGGGCAGAGTGGGGCACCTGGCGGGCAGAACCAGGCGATTACAGGCTTAGCGGTCCAGGCGGGGGCGGGGGGATGGCAGAGACACTTCGCGCAGGATGCAAAATCGGGCAGGTAGAAATTTTGATCAAGTTCGCCTCCCATGAACAGGGGCAGGAGAGACCGCTGCCAATTCGAGGGGTGGGGCAGTGATAAGGTGAGGTGGCCTCACAGGCCCAGGGGGCTCTGTCGGGACTGGCAGTGGGTGGGGGGCATCGCCAAGGGAGCACTGCGGGGCGGGTCAGCGACGCGTGGGCGGGCGAGCAGGGGCCGGAGCGGGGGCGGGGTCGGGGCCGCAGGGGCGGGGCCTAGCGGTCTTCTCGGACCGGCCGGATCTTCATCTCCGAGAACTTGAGCGAATACTGCCAGCCGGTCCAGGAAGACCACTCGACGCCATCCGCGTAGGAGGAGTGGGCGCCGCGCAGGTACTGCCCGTTGAGGTTGGACGTGTGGCAGTTGCGGTACCACCAGGCGCCGCGGTAGAAGGCGGCGCAGTTGTTCTCGGAGTGGTCACTGTCGCGGTCCTTGGTGGTGAACTTCATGCCGCTGTGCTTCAGGAGGGAGTCACCTATGCAGGTAGGCACACACAGATGTGCTCTCATGGGGCACACGTATGCGCGTGCAAGCACGGCCACAGGCGTGCATTCTGGACACACCCATGCCATCCGTGTGTCCAGGCAGGCTCACATGCACACAGGGGGTCCTAACGGAGGCCCCTGGGTCTAGCCACTCACCCGCCCTCCTCCGGCTTCCTCCCTGCCCCCAGCTGAGTGCCTGGTCAGGCTGGGAAGCGGAGCCACTTCACCTTGAAGGCCCAGGGCTCTGGGCTCAGCTTTCTCTCATCTGCAAAAATGGCTGACAAGCCTGACTCCTTCCACCTCCCGTCTGCAGAGGTGTGGGCCACCATCTCTAGGTGAGAAGCCTTAAGTGTGACCCCAGGGGGCAGAGATGCTGGATCTGGTGGGACCCCTTGGTCCCCCCAGGTGGGGGACTGACTGTCTTGTCTAGCTCCTTCCCTGCTGTTAGCCGGCAGCCTTACCTGCGGTCCCCGAGTAGTCAGCCACAGTGAGTGGGTACCCATCTTCCTCGGGGTCCACCGAGAACAAGCCCACACTGAAGCTCCCGTAGCGGGCATAGGCTGTCCCATTGTCGAAATCCTCCAGGTCCACGTGCAGCTCATAGGCGGCCTGTGTGGTCAGGGCATGGATCCTCTTAAGCCCTGGAGCAGGGGAGGCAAAGAAGGGAGAAGGCAGGGAGGGGGATTCTCAGAGAATGCCCCCTGGGGCAGAAGCGGGGGGGTGAGAGTTTCTGTGGGGACAACTGCCAGGTGTGTGCGCTTGATCCGTCTCTCTCCTGCAGGCCTGTGCTTGGCAGAAAGCAGAGGGCCGAGAGCTGGTGGAGTTTGGCTTCTCAGTCTGCTTTAAGCTCCTCTACGCCTTTCAAACACACGAGCTAAGGCTGGTGGAAAGACAGCAGGAGTCAGGGAGGGCTGATGGTTCCATCCCTGCCCTCCCACACTGGACCCCTGTCAGCCAGACGGTCTGGTACTTGTACTTCCCTGAACCTGACTTTAACCTTTGCGTATGGTATGCTGTTCCCTCTACCTAGGGCACTTCCGATGGTCTCCCATGCCGCACCTGCACTGGGCAGACCGCCAATCTCTGCCCACCCACACTGCCCCTAGTGTCTATCACTGTCACCCATCTGCTTGCGACTGTGGGCCTCCCCTCCAGGGTGCCAGCTGCGGGAGGGCAGTGTGTCTGCCTATGTTAATGGTTGGGACCCCTCACGTCACCACCACTGTAGCTACAAACCCACTAAACCACACGACGAAAGGCATATATGTAAAACTGAAGGCTGGCGTTGCTATCAATGGAGACAAACTGGGAGCGTTCCCCTTGCTGGTGGGAACCAGACAAGGGTGCCCACAATCGCCACTCCTATTCGACAGCGCTGGAAGTGTTAGCCAGAGCTACCAGGCAAGAGAGGGAAAGAGAAGGCATCTAAATTGTCCACACAAAAAAAGTGAAAAAAAGTAAAACTATTTGGAGATGGTATGGGCCCAGACAGAGAAAATTCAGAAGACTCCAAAGAAATCTATCGGGACAAATGGAAGATCCAGCACAGTGGCAGGATAGAAGATCAATAAAAAGCAGTCAGATTCCTTCACACGAACAGAGCTCTGGAAAGGAAATCCAGAAAACGAGGCCATTTATAATAGCCCTCCTCCCCCGAAGATGAAATACGTAGGAATCAATATAACCAGAGAAACAAAGAAAACTACCAAAACACCAAGAGACCTGTATCAATGGAAGAAGGTGCCACGCTTATGAATGGGGGGATTTAACATGGGGAAAATGCCAACGCTACCGGAAGTGAGCTACGGATATAAAGCAATCCTAGTCCCGATTCCATCCTCATTCTTGAAGGAGATGAATACATAAGTCACCAACGTTCAACAGAAACCCAGAGAGACCTTGGACAAGCCAGGGGGCTCCTGAAGAAGATCCGGGGATGAGGCTTCTTCTCACAGACATGCTAGCCCAGCCGCAGAAACCCGGTGCAGATACAACGATGGACATGTGGCACTCAGACCAATGGGGCCTCTGAGTAAGTCCATCCGCCTACGGACCGCTGACCCTGGACAATGGGTTAACACACATTAAACGGGGGGACAAGATAGTCTCTTTGATCAACGGTGCCCACAAACTGGATATCCATTTGCAGAATCGAACAGGACCCCTCTCTCACACCATAGACCAAAACAAACCCAAATAGGTCAAAGTCCTAAATGTCAAACCCAGAGCTATAAAAATCATCCAAAAAAAACCCTAGGGGCAAACATAGGGTCCCTGATGCATGGTATAGATACACTGTCACATAATTGGAAACACATGAAGAAGAGCAGGTGACAAAAGCAACAAGACCCACTGTCCCTGGCTGATTCACTCACAGCAGCACTGCCCGACAGGGCAGAACTGCTCTTGAGGATCAGTTTCCCCCGAAGGCAGACAGCCCCGTCTTTCTGCCGCCGAGCCTCTGGTGGGCTCCTAGGGCTGGCTCTGTGGCTAGCAGCCCAAGCTGTAATCACGATGTCACCAGGGCACCTTCAGCACATCCTGAATGCTCAATAAATGCGTCCCTCCTCCACTTCCTCCCTGCCAGATCCTCAGAAATCCTGCACCTGTCCCAAAGTTCTCGCTCCTTCCGCCCACCCCACCACCACACACACAACTGGGGCCAGTGTGTGCATCCCAAAAGGGTGTAGAGGCAGTGGGCACAGTCCCCATCCAGTCCTCCGGGGAAGGCTTTGTGGGACCCCAGCCTGCAGCTCCAGGGACAGGAGAGGTAGCTGTGAGCCTGCTGCAGCTCCCGCTCTCCTGCCCTGGCCCAGACTCCTGGGCAGGCCTCCCTCGGCCAGGGAGGGAGTGAGGACATCAACTTGGAGAACATCAAGGTCTTGCCAAGGTCCAGGTCCCCATCTCCCTCTCTGGGCCCCAGCTTGCACACCTGCGGGTGGTCCTCAGGGGCTGGAGGGGGTGGGGCCTGGGTGGGGCTGTAAACGACTCTAGCCATCACCACCACGTGGGGGCACTCAGCCAGGCCAGGCACTGTGCGGAGGCCTTCCCACAATCCAATTAATCAAAGTGAATTAGAACGCATCACATTTAATTAAAGAGTCCCTGCGCAGCTCTTAGAACAGCTCCTGGGCGCCACGCGTGCAGTTGCAGCGCCTGGGCTGCCGCTGTCTTTAGAGGCAGGTGCTAGTCTTACTCCCGCTTCACCTGGGCTGCAGCGGAGGCACAGGGAGGTGGAGTAAGCAGGCGCTTAGTGCACAGTGCTGACAGAATGGCTCAGCTCCGGGCTCCGATTCCATGTCTACTCGGCGGCGGCACCAAGGAGCCTCAGGAATGGACCAGGAGGGAAACTTACCCCAGAGGATCCTGAAGGCTCTCTCCCCCACCACACACCCCTTTTGGGTTAAGTGATGCCCGGCTCCCAACACTCCTGTCCACGAGGGGCTGCCAGGCTAGGTCCAGGGGCTGGGGCACACCCCATCTCCACACTTCCTGCAGATGGGAGGTTGGTCTGCCAGGAAAACTCTGCCCATGATCACTGCTTCTCCCCCACATCCCTGGGACCCTAGATCGTGAGCTTGAGAGTTCAGATCACAGAGGGCGGGGGAGAATCAGGGAGACTCCCAGACGCAGGGTACTCTTCGCAAGGAACTTTCTGCTGGATCAAAGGGTTGAGCCTCCAAGCAAAACACCCCGAATCAAGTTCACTGTCATTGA